TATTTAATATTAATATTTAATAATAATAAAGAATTAAGAGCTCTTTTTCAACCAGTGGGAAAGCTTAGAGCTTCCACATTAAAGAACAAATGAAAAACAACCCAAAAAACACCAACCACTACAAGTGTAGAGCTTCATTAAAAGACAGTGAATCTGTCTGAATTCTGGGTTTTTTTGAAACATTCCTGTTTTTTTATAGAGACATATTCCACATGCTTAACAGCAAACACGAGTAGTACTGAAACAGCATTAGCTTTACATTTGTGCTTTAAGAATGTAGGTCTTCAAGAAGCAAGTTTGTGTTTTGAGGCAGTTTGTAACAGATACCTGCATAACAAACAATCACTGCCATTTGCATTGGCAATATTAATCCCAACACCATGTAAACCAGCTTCCTGATAGCAGCGTCACCCAAAATTGAATACCATGCACTCTTCATTCATTAAAAATAAGCAACATGCCTCACTTTTTTGCAAAACAACATTCCAAATCAATGAAGTTATTAAAACTTTGTATGCTACTCCACATAACTGAGTGATTTAAAAGCAGCTGGTAGGACAAAAAAAAGCACAAGAGTGTAGGATCATCTGGTGAGAAAAAGGAAGTTCACAGCAAGTAGCCTATGACTGAAGACACCTTAAAACTTTTTTTTTTTCCCTTCTTCAGGTGGAAATGGGCCTTGGCTGACCGCAAATGGACTACCTTCCTGGTTAAGCATAAAGCATAGATATACATACAATTTTGTTCAAGTCTAGACAGCCTCAAGTGCCAAATAAATAATATTTTTAATGTCATTTGTTCTGCTGTGTGCTCAAAAGAGTAGCTACAGTCAGTCTCATGAGAAACTGCTTGGGAGAAAATAGTTCCTGGCTGCTTAGTATTAGTCAAAAAAGGAATGAAGAGAAAGGCAAGAAAAACCCCAGGAAGCAACATCAGTAGAAGCCCACAAGTTTGACCGAAACTGTCAAAACGGAAACAGTGATTTGTAACCGATTCCATTTGCAAGTTGCATCCAGTGGGATCTTCCATTTTTTCACAGGAGCTTTAACCTGTTTCTCTTCAGAGAGGTGTGCCATGCATGTGTTTTAAAGATCCACAGAAAGAGATCTGAAATAGAATGTATTGTGGTTGCTATGTGAGTCAGACAGGGTTTTCCACACTCAGGTACCTTTCTATATCATTACCTTTTTAAGCTTTTTCTTTGCTGCTGGATTGGCCACAACATTCCCTTCAGTTTTTACGGTCACATCATCAGCAGTGTCCTTTTTTTCTTCAGTAGTCACATCAGCTAAATTGGCAACATCTGCATCATCCCCTGCTGAGCTGCCACTTTCTAACAATGCTGCTGCTTCTTCCTCATCCACCAGCAGCTCGTCTTCAGATTCAAGGAGTAAACTAGGCTCATCTTGGTCTGCCTGTTCACTACTTTTAGCGCCCGATGGCTCAGCAGCATCATCTTGTTTCTCCTCCTTCACTTTATCTTCTACACTGGCACTTTCAGGTTTTTGAGCAGTATCTGGTTTAGACTTCTTATCACTTGGAGAATCTTTGCTGTCTGGAGAATATGTTCTCTTTCTGTAAAGAATAAAGAATACTTGCTTGTAAACCTGAAGAGAGCCCAGAAATGACAAAAAAAAACCCGGTAGATTATGTTCTTTTTCAGGCTTGTCCAAAAAAAATTATGTTTTAGTTCAGAAAATAGAAGGTTGAGGGAAACATTGAAGGATACCATTCTTCAAATACACAAAAGGCTGCTGCAAGGAGAAACTGTCCTTACAAGATGGGACAACTGCTCATGGGTTTAAACTCCAGGAAGGCGAGGCTAATTAAGGACCGGAATACATTTCCTGAAGAGCCTGAAGAGGCTGTGAAATCTCCACCATTAGAGGAAGAGTGTAGGTAGCATATTAGAAACAGTTAATCTCAGGGCACAAACAATGATGTGATCTTAGAGCTTGCCTGACTTCTTTTGTATAATTTCTGGGTAAGGTATTTTCATATTTCTTTTAAACAACATTATGCTTTAGCAATAGGAAATTACCTAGTTTTATCCTTTTTCAGCAGTTCAACTCCTTTGTTTGGAATCTAAAATAAAATTTAAAAAATCTGTAAGTCACAGCAGAGAATGATTTATACAACTGTTGCATGATTAATTCAGACCAGACAGCACAATCGAGCCAAGCACTTGCAACTACGTTAATCCACAGGTACTCTTTTACCATGCCCACCTACCAAGCAATTAATAAACTGCTATTATGTTAGATAGGACCATACCAACCTAGAAAACCCATGTCTTTATTCACAGTAATTAGCAGTTATTCAGTACAAAACAGATGGGATAGCCTGCTCCAGAAAAGCCATATACAATTCCTCTTTTGTTTATGAACTGATAGAGTGTGGTGCAGGCGACTGCACAAATCAGTCTTAATCCACACTTTTCTCCCTGTCATTAGTAGCTACATGGAAAGCTTCTGAAGTCTCAAAACAGTTAAGGCATTACTGATTAGGAAATTCCACTTGTATGGTAGTAACATTGAAAACTATTCAATGCATGACTTAAGTATTTGAATTTGCCACAAAGTGTTCATTTTTGCTAGGTGATCATGCACAATAGTAAGATTTCTTCATACCCCACAATAGAAAGCTTATGTATTTTAAGAGACAGCTTGACAATTCAGATTTCTCCCGCTTTTCCACCTAGTGTCCTAGTCTGATGGAGGAAGTCTTATAATTGCAAGAGTATTAGCCTGGTGTTAGGACAAAAGAAAAGGAAGCTCTTGGCCAACCCTTTCCTCCCAGACATGAGCTGCACATGCAAAGGTGCAGTTACACCATAGATTTTGACAACGCTTATTTTTAAAAACTAGTCGTAAGACTAAATCTATGTACCTAGGTAGTTAGGTTTCGCATCAACAACAGGGATCAAAAAGCTGTCTGGTGCTCAAGAAAAAAGGTTTTGGATGGCATCCAACAGAGGAAACACATTCTGTTGTACTACTACATAGTTTAAGAAGGAGTCCCTAATAACATTTGTCTTTGTTCCATACACGAGTACATGTACAACAAAATGGACAAACCCACCAGCAGTTGTGAAAAGAAAAGCCAAGAGTTAAGCATACAATGTATGGGAACATAATTCTGCCACCCAGCTTAATTTTACTCACTGATCATTTTCAGAGGAAGGCAAGGAAAAAAAAGAACCCACATTACAGACCATTCTAAATGGAGAAATTTTAATTAAATCTACACCAATTACTCTAAAATCTGAATTTAGTAGCTGTTTGGTTTTTGTTTAATCTGAAAGTCATTTTACTTTGTTCCAGGCCTCACAGCACCACACTCATGCTAAGTAGCTACACTTAAGTAGCCAGAAAATGCTAAAGCAAATCCTTCCATTTTACAAGCGGCATTGAATTCTCAATAAGCGATATCTATCTTCTACTTCACTTTACATCTTTAAGTACAATTAAAAAAACCAAAAACACTACTTACCCTTAACACCAGTTTCTTGTATTTTTCAGATAAATCCACTTTCACACATCTGCCTTGGAACCAAAGCGCTTTGTTGGCACAATGCTCAACCATAGCTAAAGCATCTTCTCTGGTCTCCATCTCAATGAAAGCCTTAAAACACACATTAAAAACAATGATGAAACACACAACACTTTTGCAGGCAAAGCTATTTTTAACTTAAAACACAGCGTTTCCAAATGCTGAAACAAAATTATAAGATTCAGCTATACCCATCCTCTCCAAACTAGCCGTGCATTATAAAATTTACCAGAGTGCTCTATATACCCCAACTTTTCAATTCAGTAATATCTGTCCCATAGAAAGTTCTGAAATGAAACATGCATTTAAATAATTGCAAAAAAAAAGTCACCATAAAGTAAAATATTCTTCCAAATAAAAAGCATCTGGACAATTAAATGCATTTATTTGGTGCATAAGTATTTGGGAATTCCAGGGTAGCTGAGAAATTACCCCAGTATTTTATTTTTAATTTTTCAAGAGAAGCCTGAAACAGACAGGCAGCAGCTGCTGGTCTATACATATTGCTTTGCAAGGTATTCCTCCAAGAAAAAAGCCTATGACACACTAAGTTTGCTAAACAAGCTTTTAAAAACACATCTGGGCTAGAGTATCATTGGCAGATAGAAGAAAGCTGTTTCTTCATGCATCTTAGCAAGGGATTTTATTTTTCTAGTGAAATAAGGGCAGGGAGGACTTCCTAGGAGTAGTACAATAATTTCTAGTAATTTTTCATTCCACAAGTGTGGCATTACGGGATTCAGGCACTCATCTCTTTGGAAAAGCACTGGAATTTCCTATTTAACTCAAAGGAGCAACAAACTAGGACAGCAAAGATGAAAAAAAATTAAAACTAAATACTTTAAACTCCTGTGTATTTGGATGTGCATGTACATGATTTCTTTAAAGCATTTTACTATACACATGCAATGCACTATCTTAAAACATTTTTTTTTTTAAAGTTAGAACACCACAGCAGGACTGCTTTTGTTTAAAGAATGAAAAATAAAAGGTATATGGAAAAAATGTGCAATGGTGGAATATATTTGGAAATGTTTTTTCAGCCTTAGGAGTTCCAAGACTCCTAAAAGCCTGCACAACAAAAAAATTAAGCCTCAATGCTAAATATACCTTCTTCACAGCTGAGACCTGTTTTTTTTTTTTGAAAGCAGCTCACATTACAGCAACATTTTGCAGTAAGCTAGATAGGAAACCACCACCTACAATAGTCCTCTAAGAATTTCCTTATCTATGCTAGAGCAGAAAGTCTACACATGTACCAATTAAAGGCACATCATTTCTTCACAGTTAAAAAATCTTACTTTCAACTCTCAACACACATGTATATTCCTATGGTCAGTTACCTGGCTTTTCATTCTCATGAGTATGTAGTTCTTAATTTTTCCATACGGTTCAGCCAGTTTGAGTACTGCGTTGTCAGAGTATCCCGAATGAGGTAAATTGCTGAGGTGAATCACACGACCAAGTTCTGGTTTTGGCGGCTCAGTTTTTTGGTCAGGTTTACCCTCAGGTTTCTAAAATTAAGAGGTAATGAAATTTTAAAAATACATACTACATAAAATACACACAGGTGACTATCCCTTGATTAAGTTGATACAGCTAAGAAGTACATAAATTACAAATAACTTAAATGCAATGGCCCAATAACACTGACTGCCCCAAACTGAAATAAGGCAACATTAAAAAAGCAGAAGTGGTTTTTTACCTTTATTCTTTTGTATTTCTGTGACAAGTGGACTCTGACTGGTTTACCAAATACCAGCGCGGGCGTTGTTGAATAGTATTCTACTGCAGCCTGGGCATCCTCAGTGGTTGACATTTCAATAAATGCCTGAAATAATATAAAAACAAATTAAGTGCCACTCCTTCAAGAATTAGTATTTTTGTTTAAAATCTCAAGCTCTTCCTTGCTTTCCTGTAAAAATAGCTACATCAAAAATGAAAATTGCCTTTTGGTTAAAACGTTAACTGACCTGCAGAACTTGGCACAAATTTCACATACTTTATTTAGGTGCACAAACACAACAATTTGGTTTGTTTACATTCCACCTAAATTTGGATTCAAAACATTCAACTGTTTCCTGCTTTTTCTCTTCTGCAATACTGGCTTTTTCCACACTTCAAAATATGACACTTTGTATAATACAAACTATGAGCAAGTAAGCTTTCAGAGAATATCAGAACAAGAACAGAATTTGCAAGCATACTGTATTTTTGCCTGTTCATAGCTTTCTCAACAAGAAGGTTTTTTAAACAGTATTGAACTTAAATTGCAGTACTACAGCATTTCTGGAAAGAAACATACCAGTCACTCTTCCTTGCACACACATGACCTTGGTGACACGTGTGACATCTCTCTTGGTAGCTGAGCATGTCCTTTCACAAGGATTAAGCTCAGACAGTTCACATTCTAAAGACACCAAGCAGGGCCTAATCTTACCTCATTGATTTTGTTTAAAATCAGGTGATTTGTAATTATTCCAAATGGTTCAACAAGCTGAAGCAGCTGATATCTCAAGTTCTTTCCCCTCTGGAAATCCATGATGTGAACAACTCTGCTTGTTTCCTGTTGATGCATACACAACATGGAAAGAAAATGCACATCAGCTAACCTACAAAGAAAGTCTGTCAAGGCTCTTATGTACTTTTTGTTTTTAAATCTCCAGTAGTAACCAAAACAAGATGCATATAGAAAAGGCACAGAACCTCCAGGGATTTCCACAGAGGAAGATGCTTGCTGTGCCAAACTTGCCTTTCTCTATGTTCATATCCCACAGCTTCATCATAGGAGAATGTTTAAATAGGGTCTGTACAGTTTTGGAACAAGTATTTTGTGGAGTACTTGGCAGAACAAAACCCCACTCTTCTTCCAAAGTTTCAGTATTTCCACACAAATAAATCCCAAAATCTCACTTTTAAAGACAATCCATTCATTGGGGGGGGAGGGGAAATCTTATGAAAGCAAACAAAAAGCATTTTTGCATAAAATTGTGTCTTTTAAAAATAAAACCAACAGATTTTTAATACTAACCACTCTGCCCTTTTGCATGTGTCTCGGTCCTTGCATGTTTCCATTTCCAGCTCCTTTAAGAAATTAAAAGAATGAGCAAGCTTAGTTTAACCTGTAAGACTGCTATTAGCACGTCTCTTTACAAGTTCTTGAGATACAAGTCACTTGTAATACTAAAACAGGATGACATCAAGTTTTAAAAACTAATTATTTCAGTACAGTCTGAAAAGGCTATATCAGAGCTCTTGTAACTTGAGGTCCTCCTTCCTGATCATTCTGTTCAGTTTAACATTAGAGAAAGAGCTGCATTTACTGATGTGCGGAAATATCAGAGAATAAGTAAAGCCCATTGAAGAAAATATCTCATTTTCAAGTAAGATTTGCCATAGCAAAGCATCTCTTTAACTAAGATAGACTTTTTACAATTGAGGTTTTAGGTGTAGGAAAAAAGGCTCCTAGTTTTGGTTCTAAACCAACACCAAATTCTATCATAACGGCCATTTTAGTAGGAATCATCTGAAAAAAGTCTTTCACATAGCTTGGCTCAAAGTCAGGTTTGGATGTTTTGAAAAATTAACAGTATTGTTTTAATGAAATTAACTATGAATGCATCTATCATCTAAAAATTCCTTTAAATTGTCTGAAATACTTGTAGTCTGTCAGGATACCTAGGAAAACCAGTTTTGCTCTTTTCGTCACTAAACTATTTAAAAGGTAGGAAGTAACAACTGCAGGCAAGAACTGATTCATAGCCTGTCTTCCTGTAGGGAAGAGGCTTGCATGACCTGTCTTCCCATTTCTCAGTTGCTATTCAAATCTATTTGTCAATTAATGTGAAGTTAAGGTTGGGGGGAACACTCAGGACTTTGAATTCTTGCAAGTTTCACAAAAAACCCACCAACATGTAGCTAAACTGAAGACATACAAAAAGGTTCTAGACAGGAAAAAAAACAGAAGTCCAAAACGTGTGTGGATTGTTCAAACACAATTTAAAGGAAACAGCCAGAATAATGTGGCTGGCAGTTAGCAGACAGGAGAAAGGTGAAAGTGTGGTATCTGAGTACCAGTCTTTGGCCAGTGAGGAAGTAAAGCATTTCAGTCCCACTGCTCAGAAAAGTGAGCATTTTGTTGTTCTAAGACACTGGTAACAAGTTAAAACAAAAATAAGTTTTTGATTTTTTGTTTAAGTCTTATAAAAGCAGGTGCCTGTTGATGTTACCTCTTGGCCCAACAGGAGGTCCTCCAAGGTGAAATGGAGGTGGTGGTGGTCCCAGAATTCCTGGTGCAGGGTTTGTGGACTGCTGCAACATAAAGGGATCACCCCTAGAAAGAGGGCAAAACCCACATTAATTTTAAACCAAGAAACTGTGAAGCTTTCATTCTCAAAAAAAAAAAACAAACCCAAGCTGATTTCTGCAGAGCATCCAAAAAATTAGCTTTAGCTACTTTTATTGCTGTTCTTCAGCCAGTAGAAAACAAAGGGAGGCATCCATTTGAAGAAAAGGAAGTGTGTTGTTTCACATAAACTGTTAAGAACATTCTCTGCTTCAAATAAAAATAATTACAAATACTTCAAAATTCATTACTACTTACATTCCATGTCCTGAATCACTGTCAGGATTCCATTCTGGATATCTTAAAAGAAACAAAAAAGAGTAAGAAAGATACAATCTCCTCTACCTATGTAATAATTTTCATACAAGCAGCAGTATCTTTACATGCTAACCCAGCTAAAACACATAGTAACACTGCCCACTACAGGACCACTACAAGAGACATGAGTAGTATCTATTGATAGAACAGAAGTGCTGTTCTTCATGAGAAAATTCCTACACTGTATGTAACATGTCTGCCAATTTATAATACAAATTGCATAGTTTGTTTTGCAACAAAAATTAGTAAGTTGGAATAAGTGACTAGTAAAAAATTACAATAGATTCTCAACTCTTAAGATCCAACTCTTTAAAACATTACATACTAATCAGCAGGATTCAAGTTACGAACAGAGATCCCATTTTTGTCCTGAAGATGTTCTTGTTAAGTTGCATGTTTTCTAAACCTGCTTTGTGCAACGTAATTGGCCATTATTTAGTTGTATACGCCCTCATGCCACAAGAATATTTACTGTACTTCAAATTCATACATTTCAAGCAGCAGCTGACAACGTCGGCTGTGAGTCGCTCCATTGATATGATGGTTCCACTCCTGCAGCAAAGTAAATAATCAAAAATTAACAGCCACATATGGCAAGCCATTTTTAACAAAATAATGTTTTAGTGTGCAGTATCTTCTCTTCAAGTATCGAAGATACATACATAGGTAATGGAATCTTGTTTAGTAGTGCTTTAAAGAGACACTGAAATTGGACCTATGTATTAACTCCTAACCTGGGTGAAAAGGTGTCTGATAAAAAACGTCTTGCCATCTATGGGTTTGATCCTGCCTCAGAGGTGCAACGCTTACCAGGGGATAACTGCTACAGCATACATGCTTATCATTGAGATTTCAACTTTTAGAACTGGATGCTGAGATATATTTTTTTTCCTTGAGTAATTTGAGAATTTCCTCCACTCTCTGCTTCATTCCTCAGACTTTTAAAGATTAATGTGAACTAAACACTCCAGTTTTTAGAACCATAAAGAAGCCAAGAAATTGCAAGGAATTCAGAAAGGAAAGACTGAAAGAAATGAGAGTGCATAGCTAGGACAAACTACAAGTATACAGGTAAAATATAAAAATATATGACCATTTGACGGGAATAGTAAAGAAAAAAAAAGGAGATCTAAATCAAGATGGTACAAAGGAGGAATAATGGAATAAAATTAAATCAGCCAGGTAAAATTCTTTCTGGTTCTGGCTTTAGTGCTAGAAAGGAATGAGGGCTTTCTACTTTTTCTCTGCAGATTATTTTGATTACAAAGGGAATTATTTATTTCAAGAGGAGAGAAGGCATGGAGACCACTCCTTTATCAAACTACAGAGTGCCTGATCTCCATATCCTTACATTCTTACAAGCAGCAGCACTAATTTGTGCTATATTTGCGTTTGTAAAGTGACAGAACTTCTGATGTGTCACTCCTGCCCATCTGTGAGCCACAGTCTGATTTCCACTCTGATGCCCTTCACTGAGCAAAGGGATCGGCACAGACACATGGGGCAAGGTAGCTTTAGGGTCACAGAGGAACGAGTGGAGAGCAGTTATTGGTTTTCTCTTATCAGCTACATTTTCAGCTGTGAACACGTATACTGCATTGGCTGACTTTTATATATCTTCTTTCATGTGTATTCTGCTCAGTGCCCACACGTGATTTTTTTCTAATTCCTCATCTTTCCTGATTTTTAAGTTTCTGTCACATTATAGCCATCTTTCTAGATACAAGGAGACACTCCTGAGGCTTACAATAGTGTTTCTATATGCTAAATGCCTACCTTGCGCTTTCCACAAAGGAGAAAAACCTGGATCTGAAGTCTCCCATGAACTACTGTCGTTCAGCTACGCTACAATATTACTCCATGATATAACAGAATATAACATGGAGCAAGAGGAAACCTTCATTTATTTTATCAAGATATAAAGAGAGCACCGCTGTTTCTTGTTAACTGCACAAGATGTAGGATCTGCAACTGTAAACTAATACAGTGGCAATTCAGATTAAAAAAAAAACACTGAATACCCCAAGCAAACCTAGCTATCTATGAAACATTCAATACTTAAAACCAAAGCTTCTTCAGTGTAAAACTTGCTAACAAGTTTTAGCACTATCCTACAGAAAGAAAACAGCCCTTTAAACACTAAAAAAAGTCTAAATTTGGGTGCGCAATCTGTAAAGCGTCGGTGGCTGATCCAGCTAGATATAACATGCTTTGAAGCCATCTTAACACATAATTTAAAGTGATTATAAACTGAAATAGAAATTATCTGCAAACTAGAGCCAAAGTTCAGAAGATCTAGTTCTCATTATACTTCAAATGCTTTTAAATTGGCAAAAAAAAGGAGATCTGACATATAACTTGTTTTTTTTTCCCCCGGGGAAAGTTTTTGGAAAAACAATGGTTCATCTTCATTATTAACTTTTTAATAAATGCAATTCTTGATCTAGACTTCCCTTTACTCTGTGCCTCTACCCAGTCTGAAGCATCACTCCCTCTGGTTTCAGGGCACTAGATATTTGCAAATATTAACACTGGGCATTCATGTTAAACTCGAGAAAATCTGAACCGAGTTTCTTAAAACTGAAATTACCTTTTGTCTCAATTGATACAAGCAAGAGGACGCACTGTTCTTCAGAAAATTGGGCCAAACTTAAGCACCTAATTTTAGGTAGCCCTCTATTAGGAACACGGCCATGTTTCTCCTTTGAGATGTATCACAGTTTCAAGTGTTTAACCTCCAAATTCATCTGCTCATGTTGCATCAGCCTTTTTCTTTGGCAGGGAAAACAATCCCTCCACATCTAACACCTCATTCCTTGATAAAGGGATCACAATTGACAAAATGCCTAAAAAACCCAAACAACTGGGGCACAACTTCACAATTAGACAGAAAACAAACTGGGTCTTCAAATAGATACGCATCAAATTAAAGAAGCAATTAAGAACATCCCTAAAAAGGAAAACAGAGGACTAGTCTGCCAGCTTAAGTTACACTAAGGGTGTTTAACCCCTTGCTTGGGGCTTAAAATAAACATTGCTTTATCATATACTTTAAAAAAAAAACTTCTATTTTTCTTTGGAGGTGGGGAAAATGAGATTTTGATACTGCAGCAGTAAGTTTACATTGTCCCAGCTAAGAAAAGCATTCCCTTTCTGCTTTCCATAAATTTTGGTTCAGATCATATTACTTTAAAAGTTAAGTTCTACTTGATTCAATTTTGTGGGAGACACAAAATAAATTCTTAACTGTTAGGTATGCAAAGCAGAGGAAAAAAGGAGAGAAAGAAAAAAATTCTTGTGGTGACATGATTTCTAAAATTAGAAACAAAGCCCAAACTTGGGTCATAAGAAACAGATGATCCAATCTCAAATATTTTATGGTGTACCAGCAGTTTAAGTCAAAGCATACTCCTAAAAAAACAGATGGTTTTACAAGTGGCTGACTTGTTCTGTAACATAAGTTATGCTGTCAAAAGAAATTGGTATTTCTCATACCTGGAAAGATACTTCATGTTGGATATCCTTTCAATAGATCTTCATACCCAAGCAAACTAAGAACCACGTGGTTTTAAAATAAAGTGCTAAAAAGAACCCTACTTACAGGATTACTGGTTGCCATCTTCAAGGGCCTCGGAAATTTATGTTTCAATCTAACCAAATGAAGTCCTTTTACAGAACTGAGCATGGCATCTAACTGTTAACACTTAAAACCTTTTGTGAAAATAAATGTAAAATATAGGAAACAAGAAACCCGGATTACTGTGATTATTTTATATAAAAAGTAATTAAAGCAACACAAGTTCATAAACTGTCAGATCCGCTGGAGGCATACAGCATGTGCTCTAAAACTGGTTTGATCATTTCCTTGCAGGGACAGAGTAATTCTCATGTTTCAAAAAGATTAGATGTACAGAAGCAGCACTTTCTGAGAGGTAACTGTAAAGAAACGGTTAGTAACAGCAATTCCACATTGTATCAATTTTACAGCAATAGCATGTATTATATTTTCAATTGAAGGCCTTCAAGCTAATTAGCCTCTAATTGTGACAAGAGGGGCACTGTATTAGCCAATTAGCCAATTAAATTGCCTAGTATACTGAAAATCAGCAAGATGAGTAAAATTGGAAAAGCTGAAAAGTGAGAAGGCTCTGAAAATAACGTCTGAATAAACAGGCCATTTTGAGTAACCTGCTACCTTGGCAGAGAGTTGAACTGCTCATGAATAAACTAAGAGGGAAGTCTCAGCATAACCGAATACACCCGAAGATCCACTCTACTTGCGAGCCAAGTAAAGAACACTACTAGGAACACAGAGCAGGATACTGCAACAGCAGACTGATTGCTCGGAGAGTCTACAGGGATAGATGCAACATGTGACAATAAAAAGTGAGTCTGAAGTGTCTAAGAAAGTTGTGAAAAAGGAGAAAAATGACGACAAATTTCAGCCATAGTATGAGATAGAGTGTTAAAGTGAAATTAAAAAGGCAAGAATGAGCTAATCTAAAACGTAGTTTTTACTTTTGTAAATAAGTTCCAGGGCTCTACATTAACTCTTT